CATCCTAATAGTACATTTGAATGCAAAAGCCATGAAAGATAGGTATTGACAATCAGTATGTATGAATAAAAGATAATGAAAAAGCTAGGTGATTGTCTTCATTTCTTTTTCTGTTGCTGTGATAAAATATTCTGAAAAAAAAAACTTTAAAAACATACACATATATACATATGTGTATATAAATCATGTATCAAAAATTGCAAAATAAATTGTTAAATCAGTAAATATATTTTACACATATCAAATTACTTAAGTCAACTGAAAAGCAAATGTCAAAGCACATCATATTCCTGAAGAATTCGCAACCGGGTTTTAAAAGCTTATTTTTAAAAAACAATAACATACTGATTTTCTATTATTGTAATTAAAACCCTGGAACTCATCAGTTAGAAGTTTACTTCTCGTGGAAGCAATGAAGCCTGAGATTTACCAGAACTCATATGGAATAAATCCAGTAAGATAGACACTTTTCTTCCCTGTTGTTGAAAACTATTATAAAAATGTATGGTATTTTCAGAATTGCAAAAATATATTATTGAAGAATAGAGTCATTGAAAATGAATATAAGCATGTAAAAGTAGTTTAATATTTACAAATGACGTATTTCAATAACCTAGGAAAGTATACTCTGTGCTCTTCTTAAAAATCTTACAAAATAGACAGCATCAGTTACATCAGTTAGGCCTTATATTGATAAGGCCTAAAGTAATAAAAATAATAATTTCTATTAATGTTTACATATGATCTGTATATATTGTTTTCATCAAGGTAAGATATAAGCATGTTCTAATAAGACCAATAAAACTGCACTCTAAAAAATACTTTCTATTGCATAAGTGAGTATTTTCAATATGGTATCACCAATGGCAGAAATACAGGAGTCTATTTTCACATATTTCTAAGAAAGATTTACTGAGGAATTATAATCGTACAAGCATCCACCTGTTCACTGTTCCACTCTTTTAATCTTTGATTTATTTCTTTGTTGAATAGTGTTTGGTCAAAGCCCATAATCATTATGACATAATGTGTTAAGGAACACAGAAGGCACAAAAAGCAGTCACACAGCTGAGAGGATCACAATTAGTCAGGGTTCTTTTAGTTTCCAGAGACAGAAAAGTGCCTGAGAGGATGGAGAAACCCACAGAAACAGCTGACCTGAACAAGGAGTTCCTCATGGACCCTAGACTGATAGCTGGGAAACCAGCATAGGACTATTCTAGAACCCCTGAACAAGGATGTAAATTTGGAGGTCTGGGCAATCTCTGGTGCCTCTGGTAGTGGATCAGTATTTATCCCTAGTACATGAATGGACTTTGGGAGGCCACTCCACGAAGAGGGATACTCTCTCCGCCTAGATACAAGGGAGAGGGTATAGGCCCTGCTCCAAATGATGTGACAGACTTTCTAGATCCACCATGGAAGACCTCACCCTTCTGGGGAATCAGTAAAGGGTGGGGGGCAGGGGAGGAGAGGAGGGGGAGGGAACTGGGATTGACATGTAAAAGAAGCTTTTTTCTAATTTAAAATTTGTCTAATTGCAATTATAGAAAAACAAAGAAAAGTGCCTGAGAACTGCTTCAGAAAAGGGTCAAGAGTGTTGGCTTATGTATCACAAGGACATGTATTCTGTGTGAAGTCTTACTATGTGTCAATGTGACTAGTGTAGGAGATTCTCAGGTCAAAAAAGATTTTGGGGTGTTTCAATGATGGCTAGGTTTACCAAGTGACAGGTGTTTGGGTATCAATAAAGGAGACAGAAAAGAAGGTGGGAATGGCTAGTTCTCCACTTTTCAGCTGGGCAAACCTTAATCTCCTAAATTCTGAAACTGGAACACCTGATCACTAAGCCCTTGGGCACTATCATTAACATCAGTGAACTCAGGGATTTACACCTGTGTGTGTCCACCTCCCTCCAACTTCTTTCGGGTTCTTGCGTTTTAATTGCTTTGGACCACAGGCTCCCCTGGTTCTCAGTTTACAAATCTTGGTGGGGAATATCTCAGATTCACAAAGGATTCCATCTAATTCCTCATAATTCCTCATGACTGTCATGATGCCTGCTTGGAGAGAGAAATCTTTTTTTTTTTTTTTTTTTTTTTTTTTTTTTGGGGAGTGTCATAGTGCAAATCAGCTACACTTCAGGGCAGGTCTGATTCTCAGGAGTTCAGTGAGGGTACTGAGCATGAGCCAAATCTTCACATAGAATCTATAGGACAGAATCTGAAAATATTACATGAGAAAACAAAACATCGTTGTGTAATTTTAGTGTATTCCTGCTGGTAAAAAATTGCCAGTAAGAAGAATGGATAGAGAAAATGTGGTACATTTACACAATGGAGTACTACTCGGCGGGGGGGGGGGGGGGAGCAGAAACAATGGAATCTTGAAATTTGCAGGAAAATGGATGAAACTAGAATAAACCATTCTGAGTGAGGTAACCCAATCACAAAAAGACAAACATGGTATGTACTCACTCATATGTGGATTTTAGACATAAAGCATAGCACCCTCCATCCACACCGCCAGAGAAGCTAGTAAACAAGGAGGATCCTAAGAGAGACATGGTCCCTGGGAGAAGGGGAAAGGTACAAGATATCCTGAGCAAACTGGGAGCAAAGGAGGTGGGGGGAGGGAGCTAGGAGAATGAGGAGGCAAGAAGAGGAAGGGTGAGGAGGACATGAGGGAGTAGAAAGGTTGAGTTGGGAAGAATAGAAGAAAACAAGAAAGGAGATACCATAATAGAGGGGGACATTTTAGGTTTACAGAGAAATTGGGCACTAGGAAAAAGTCTGGAGATCTACAAAGATGACACCAACTAACAATCTAAGCAACAGAAGAGAGGCTACCTTAAATGCCCTGCCCTGATAATGAGATTGATGACTATCTTATATGCCATTCTATAGCCTTCATCCAGCAGTTGGTGGAAATAGAAGCAGACACCCACAATTGATCACTGAACTGAACTGGAATCCTGTTGCAGAGAAGAACGAGTGATGGGCAAAGTGGTCCAGACCAGGCTGGTGAAACCCACAGAAACAGCTGACCTGAACAACGGGGAGCTCTTGGTTCCCAGACTGATAGCTGGGATACCAGCATGGGACTGATCCACACCCCAGGAATGTAGGTTTCAGTGAGGAGACCTGGGAAATCTATGGGACCTCCTGTAGTTTTTCAGTACTTATCCCTAGCATAGGTGTGGACTTTGGGAGCCTATTCCACATAGAGGGATACTCCCTGAGCCAAGACACACAGGGGTGGGCCTAGGCCCTATCCCAAAGGATATGATAGACTCTTATGACCCCTAAGGAAGGCCTCACCCTCCCTAGGGAACAGAAAGGGTATGTGATAGGTAGGGTATTAGTCAAGATAGCAGTTTTATATATAAGTATAATGCTCACTAAATTGTCTGTCACATTCTTCAAATTATACTAAAAGAAATCTGTTGATACCATTGAATTTCCTCTATTATAAAAATCCACAGCCGGAGATTGGAGCAACAGCCCGAGTTCAGAGGCCCCTAACTGTAGCTAAGCAAATGCTGCTTTGGGTATTTTTTAGATAATTGCTTCAGTCAAGCTAATTAAAATAAGGAGTACTCTAAAGATCAATTTCAAATAATTTCCACAATAATGGGTCCACATTCCCTCCTTCAGGATATATAAGTGACGACCAAGATGATCTTGAGAGGAGTAATAGCTTCTGAAGGGCAAATTGTCAGAAGAATCTGCATTGTATAGATGCCAAAAAAACTCAATGTTCACATTTTGAAAACACTTTATTTAAAGTCTTTTTACTTACAATGTGGGAAGACTTTTCATCTTCTTTTTATTTTATTTTTCTTGTTGATGGAAGAGCAGTATCTTTAACACAACCCCTGGTTATGATTTTCCACCCTCTTTTCTTTATAAACTATGTGCCATGGAACCTTGAAATCTATGATGAATACCTCTGATAGCCAATTTTTAAAGGTTATTTTATTTTACTTTTGGAGAGATGATAGAAAGGTTCACAGTGTGAATATGTATTTTGACAGTTTGTTGAGTTATAATTTATATACTGTAGAATTTATTTTTATGGTGTACAGTTTAGTAATTTTTAACTTAAAAGGTTGTATATCAGTCACTAGGATGACATTTTGAAATAGTCCATCATCCACCTTCAAAATCTTACTGAATAGCATCACCCCATTTCTCCCCACTACAGCCCAGGGAAATCATCAGTCTGCATTCTGTCCCTTCAGCTTTGCCCATACTAGCCATTTCATAGGAATGGGATCATACAGTCTGGTCAGTACCATATGAATTATTTCAGCACAATGTTTTCAAAATTCACTCATGCTCTAGTTTGAATCAATACTTCATTTCTTTTTATGGCTTCATAAGATTCCATGGGATAGATATGTGGGACCTTATTCATCTTCTGGTTAGTTGTTCCATACCTCTTCATCTCATTCTTTTTCAGGCTTTTGTCCTTTGTGTTTTATTTCCATACAGAGCTTTGTTCAGTATTTCACATAGTACTTGGATTAACCAACAATATACTTAGGGGTGTCTCTGCTTAAGGCTTGACTGTTTCATCTTTCTATACCAATATCACACAAACTGTTATATCATTACTTTGTAAAATATCTTTGAATTATAAAGGAAGTTCCCTTTCAAGAATCATTTTGTGTATGTGATTATTTTCTTTCCTGAAATCTTCAACATATTTTATGTCTTCTTTCTCCTTTGCTAGTTTATTTTCAATTGATTTTAATTTGGCTGAATTCACATCAGTTTACAGAGTGCAATGATGGCAGCTGTGTATTTTAGGATTTCTCATCTATTTACAACACCTCAAAAGTTTCTTTTTATTATTATTTGAATTATGTTTCTAGGGAGTGGTTTATATTTCTGCTAGGTTATTCCCAGATTTAGTTCAGAATATTATAAGAGAACTACAAAAAATAAGGTAGGTATAAAGCAAAAATACTTTTCTTCTCTTTCTGGGCACTAACGATGTCAAAGCAGGGACATGTTGTGTCCTCTGGAGTGAAATTTTGTTTTTCCTTGGGTCTTCCAGTAGGAGCTGTGATCAACTGCACTGACAGTGCAGGAACCAAATATTTGCATATTATCTCCCTGAAGGAAATCAAGGGACAGCTGGAGAGACTTCCTGCTGCTGTTGTGGGCAACATGGTGATCGCCACACTTAAGAGAAGCAAATCAGCAGTAAGAAAAGAACAGTGGTGATTAAACAACAAAAATTCTTTAGTTTGAAGATGATGCAGGGATCATAGTAAACAATAAAGGTGTGACAAAAGGTCCTGTTATCACAGGCCCAGTTCCAAAGAAGTGTTCAGACTTGTGGCCCAGAACTGCATTCGATGCAGGCAGAATTGCATGATTCTACAGTTTATTTATAAGATATGTTCATTAAAAAGTCTTTGCTCAAATGTAAAAAAGAAACAAATCTATTATTTCTTGCATTTCTGGAGGATTGTAATCTGAGTTTAGGATGGTGGCATGGCTCACTTTTTGGTGATGTCTATGTCTTTTTGTTTCAAACTACTGCCTTATGCTTCTCACATGACATGGATAGGGGGAGACAGCATGGAGCTGGAGAAAGGTATAGAGGAAGAACTAAGTAGAGGATGAATGGAGAAGAAGGGGAAGGGAAATCAGAGAGAAAAAATCACGTTATTTACATGGGTATTGGGTTTATGAAAGATCCACTCTAATGACATAAATGCACCCCAGTTATTCAGATACCAATACATTAGGGATTCAAATTTCAACACATGTAGTCTTTGGGGAAACATAAATGGATATGCAGCATCTACTGAGTACTTTCAATTCTATGTTATTAGAAATGTATTGCATCTGGACCAGAGAGATAGTTCTGTGGTTAAGGGCATAGGCTACTCTTCCAGAGAACCCAAATGTTTCCCAGTGCCCACATGGTTGTGTATAGCCATTTGCAACTCAGTCCCAGAGGATACAACACCATTTACTGACTTCCATGGGCAGTACATGCATGTCATATAGAACCATAGGAGAAGACAAACTTCCATAGACATAAAAACTGAAATAATATATATATATATATATATATATATATATATATACATCTTCTGATTTAAAATTTCTAATTATGTATCTGTTTTGTGGAGTACCCAGATCTATTATCTCTATTTAGATATTTCCAATTCTTTTATCCAATGCCACCTCAACTTTTCTGGTTCAAAATGCTATGATTTTGAGAAATGATCAGTATGAAAGATGTATTGAAGATATCTTTAAAAACCAACTGAAGTGCTATGCTTGGTAACAGCATTGATTGTTTAATGTTTACCTTATAACTGATTAAAAAGTGGTTAGTTATCAGAGGTTGCCTTTAGATTTATTTTAGATCATCAGTGTAGAAAATAGTAAAATAGTAAGCATTTGTAACATTAGAGGCTAATTTTACTGCACACACCACAACCACCACCACCACTACCACACACACCACAGAATCCTGGTCTAACCTACATCTTGTTCTTGTACTCTTATGTTAAAATCCTCATTTATTCTCAGAACTATTGTTTACAGACCCATCCATTCAAAGTGTAAATGGTGACTCTCACCATTCTGTTCAGAAGCCTGGCAGCACACTTCTCAGAAACTGAAGTCTTCTCATTCTGGCCTCTTGGTTCAGGACAGTCTCTCACATAGGCCCCAGCCTGTCATTGAACTGGAGCAGTTGTGCAGAACATCACTGCAGACTTCTGAGTTGCAAGTCTGGGCTTTTCTGTTTTTCTCTTTGCTGAACACTGACTGTTTTCCCCCATTTCTGCTTGAGCAGCTACTGCTTCTGAAGCAAACAAGCACAGTGTGCTTTTCTCTGTGCCATAAAACATGCCTGAGATGGGCCAACATGAACAAGGCTAAGAACATTAAAGATGGGGCTTTCTTCTTCAATGCTTTTCTGTTCATCACATTCATTTCTCTGATCACATACCTAAGTGATGATTGTAATATTTTTCTATGACAAAATTTGTCTTTATTGGAAGCCATTTATGTCATGATTTTATGGAATCTATTTCAGTTGAAATCATAAACCCATTCTATATTTTGCATTTATTTTAAAAACTTTTGGTGAGAGACTACTAGTTTATACCTTTTTTCTGGGTAATTGATTTTACTTACTATGCATAGGGATAATTTCAGTATTTAATGAACAATTTTTATATTTAGAAAAGTGTTGTTTTATTAAAAATAGCTGGACACTTTGCTCATTATTTCAGGTTGGCCTCAAATGATTATGTAGCCCAAGCTTGTAATGCTACTGCTTCATATAGTACAGTTCTGGTATTAGAGGCATATACCACCATGTCTGGCCTTATGCATTCTTTTGTTTGTTTTGTGAACTTTTTAAAATTGAAAATAGATTCTTCTCTCATACCATGCATCCTGACCACAATTTCCCCTCCCTCCATGGCTAGCTGCCCCACACATCCCCTCTCCCCCAGATCTACCCTCACTCCATTTTCTCTTCAGAAAAGAACAAGGCTCCAAGAGATGTCAGCCAGACAGAACAAAACATGATATAATAAGACAAGATGAGAACCCTCATAATCAGGTTGGTCAAGGCAACCCAACAGGAGGAAAATTGTCTCAAGAACAGGTGAAAGAGTCAGATATACACCCACGTCACTGTTAGGAGTCTCACAAAAACACCAAGATAACAACCATAACACATATGCAGAGGACCTGGTGCAGAGCCTCAGCTTGCTGTTTCATACTCTGTGAGCCCTTGTGAGCCCTGATTAATTGACTTGGTGGGCATAGTCTTTTGGTGTTCTCCATCACCTTATGTGCATAGTCTTTCCTCCTATAGGAATCCCAGAGCTCCAAGGGGAGGGACCCAATGGAGGCCTCCAATTTAGACTCTCTGCATAATGTCTGGATGTGGCTGCCTGTACCAACTCCCATCTGATGCCATCATCAGGTCTCTGATGATGACCAGATAAAGCACCAATCTATGCGTATAGCAGAATAATATTATGAATCATTTCATTGATTGTTTTTAAAGACCAGTCATGTTTGGTAATAACCTAGGTCTCTGGGCTGTCCAGTTTCTGTTTTCTGGACATCCAAACAGTTGAAGTTAAATCTGACATTGGTTGGCCACTCCCAGAATTTCTGTACTACCAAATCCCAAGCACATCTTGTAGGCAGGACAGATTGCAGGTTGAGGGTATTGTGGCTGGATTGGTGTCCAGGTTTTCTTTCCATAGACTGCAGAGTATGTTCTCAAGCTAAAGATACTAGAACATTCAGTGAGCTGTGTGGATGTTGTCCTCAGCTCAGGGCCCTACTCTTCAAAGAGCAACCTTCTTCTCAGCATCAGCCTCAGTTGTTTGGAGATCTTCATGGGACCTCCTTAGGCAGCATCAATAGAATGTAACCCAGTCTCACAACTGAAAATCTTACCTGTCTACAAAAGATGGTCAGTTCAGCCTCTATTACTAGGAGTCATCACTATGGTCACCCTTATAGATTCCAGGAAGTTTTCCCTGCACTAGATTAAACATGCCCCCACATACATACTTCACATTTCTGTCCCTACAAATCTCCAGTCCACCCTCAGAATCTATTCTATTTCCCCTTCCCAGGGACACCCATGTTTCTCTCTTATATTCTCCCTCTTTACCTAACCTCTAACCTCTAAGGATCTTTGGATTGTAGCTTTATTATCATTTATTTAACAGCTAATATCCACTTACAAGTGAATACATACCATATTTGTTTTTCTGGGTCTCAGTTACTTTACTTGGGATGATTTTTTTCTAGTTGCCTCTATTTGCCTACAAATTTAAAGATGTAATGACAACTTTTTATGGCTTTGATAATATCACGTCAATAAGATAGTATTTTGTGTTTTATGATGATTATACTCAAAGGGAAAAGGAATATAAGTGAAGTCTAAATTCAGCTAATAAAAATATGACCCATGCAATATTTGAAATATATACATGATGTAACACCATGAGCTGTTTGTCTTCAACTGAAACTTAGTAGGTATGTTTTTTTTATTATATAAACCCGAAAACCCTGTTTATATTCTATTGGTGTGGGGCTACTTATTTCTTTTAGTCAAGAGTGCAGGTAAACATGTATCTGACAATTGTAAGACAGGGAATAGAAGGAAATGGACCTCCTGTTCCCATGGGGAGTGAACCATAATTTTTGTTTGGGAATGTTAACAGACAACATAATGGACTCATCCAGAAGTCTGGAAAAAAAAAACATGCTGCTCTCATTTGGAAACACTTCATGGAAACACTCCAAAGAATGTCTTTTGGGGAGAGGGGAGACCATTTAATGCAATTAAAGACAACTATTTAAAAGTATTGAGAAAATCTAGAAAAATAATACCTGATATTCAGAAAGTGTACACCAGACAGAATGAAAAATTATCTGCACTCTGGGAAGAGTAAAAGAGGGAGAAACACATTTTTCAGTTGTAAAGAAAGCCAACTGATCCTCCAAACTTAGAAAGATTGTTGGAGAACAGCATCATGTCACAGATTTTATCCACTGATTAGGCAAAAACACACAGCAGAAAGACGCCCACAAAGGACCCCAATGCTTCCCCCATCTTCATAAATAGTCACTTCTCTGTGTTCACAACAGCTGTATAAGTTTTCCTCTATGCACAACTCAGGATTCCCAAAGACCCTTGATGAACTTTGACTCTTAGTAGATACCTAATGTGGCCTTCAGGTTACACACAGAGTCTCCAGTACACTGTGACATGCCCAGAAAATGCTACATATTCCAATTTTCTCAACTGCATTTCTGAATACCTCACACCAACTGTCTCACATCATTGTGCCCAAAATTCTGATCTAGTTTTTCTGTCCTTTCAGCCCAAGGTAGTCTTCAGTGACAAGGTTGTTTTTCTCTTGCCTCTTTAAGCTCCCAGATTTCCTTTTCTAAAGAACAGGTAATCTTTTTATGTACTTTTACTCTGAATTTTATTTTGTACTTCTTTGAATATGCTATGGTATTATCCTCTGGATGACAGAAGTCCCCAGCCTCTAATGGACTGACACAATAAAATCTGTGTGATTTCTAAGTGCACTGTCTTTCCTAGTTTACCATGATTACCAGAAGGGAAGGATGCTGAAGAGGGGTTAGGGCCTATGTTAATTTACATTTAATTTTAGCCTCGGATTCTTAAAGGCAGTGCTAATGTCTGCATGTGAATAGCGATATTTAATCAGTCCAGGCTGTCAGGCAGATAGTAGTGCTTATCAAGAAATTAGAGAAAAATGTGCTTCTTAAGTCCATCCTCCTGCCATCCAGGGAGCAACAAATCAGTTATAGAAAGTCAAACACTATGATTAAAAAGCTCAT